CTGCTGTGGATCGATGCGTTTATTACGATGATTATATTTAATTTTTCGGAAAACAAGTCTTGATAATTTGTTGGTTTCTTTAAAACTCAAGAAAAAAGCTAAAAAATGCCCTAAACATATGTGTTTACGTCGGGTCTTTTTTCTGTGGCGATAGAAGTTATTTTGAAATGGGGCACTGCAAGGAGGATGCTTAGCATTTAATTTGAAAATGTTAAACAATATGCGGTGCAAGAAAAAGAAATTGCAATCACATGTTTTACATTCAAAAGTTGGTACATATGTCTACTTTGTTTAGCAGTTAGATAGAAATGAAATAGGCGGTTAAATTATTTCCTTCAGGCACCTCATGTAAATAGCTTGATTGTTTGCAATGACCAACACATTGTATGGAGTAATGTTTGGACATAAAAATGCATCATGTCTCATTATGTTGACTACGTTGTAAGCTCTCACTTATTGAACATACGAAGCTTGATAAAATATATTGAGTTTTTTTGAAATTTAGAAGCAATCACAATGTTTGCAAACAAAGTTCCATTGCATATGCTATGTCAATCATCGCAAAAAATGAGAGACTACGCCCCCCCTCCTTCCGAAAAACCTATGTTCTTTTTTCAAAATAGTGCCAAAGATTAAAAAAAATTGCATTACTAGTATGTGATGGAACATGTGCTAGCCTTATAAGACCATTTGTTATAAAAATATTTGGTTGCCGTGTCTCCCGATCTACTGCCTAGAAATGGCCCGACTCAATTTTATTTTACATCCAATTACAGGATATTTTTTTTCTTCCGTCAACAAATATGTTTAAATTTTAAGGATTTTTTTTTCTCACCATAAATACGGACCCAATAATTTTCCCTGAGTTGGGAGGTCCACCAAACGTCATTTCAAAGATGGTATAAAATATTTAATTATGTTGATTTTTTTTCTTTTTTTCTCTGTAAAATTGTAATTTTGACAAAATGGGCAAATAGAAAAAAAAATTATTCATTAAATCTTCTAACCCACTCTGAATGATTTTATTCCTTTTCAAATGTTGCTCCGTTGTAATGAAAATTGTAAATGTTTATTTGACAGAGTATACGGGGGGGGGTGTTGATCAAAAGTAAACGATATCTTAGGTATTTGATAGTTATAATTATTGTTGAAATGTTCAAGTATTTTTCAAAGTGTAAATTGGAGATCTTTGATAGCATATTGCTTAATTAAAAACAAACCCCTTTTCAAACTTGCTTTCACCGGGCAACATAACATGTATCATATTCAACCATCTGCCTTCCTTCACTAAACGATCTATCCAATCATTGATTGAATAATTAGGAAGTCATTTGTCTTAATAAACTATGAACAAATTCTTATGCATTTCTTCAAAGGCAATTTTAAGATATACCTTAAATATTTTAGTCGTTTGTTGAATGAGTTCCACTGAGACAACCATTTTCGTCACAAGTACCTGCATAATGACTTCATTTTCACATTGTGAGCAAAACTTTATTCAGCATATGCTATTTTTAGAGTGTGCACCAATTTTTTTTCTAATCTAAATTGTGGTTTGGTAGATATAGAGATAGTTCGACAACTTTTTGATCACCCCTCTTACTAGTTGATACTAACACAAGGTTTTTCATATCGATTTTATATGTTTATTTTCTTTGTGTTTCATTGGTGATAATTAAACTTTTGATAGATATTATAAGTTATCTGTGGCAAACTTACAAACTCTTAATTTTAAACTTTGATGGTGCTCATTTTTGAAAGAGTTTATTTCAATACGTACACTATTGAACAACTGTTCGATAATAATACTAAATAAATTTCTTCAAGCCACACTATAACACAATTCCTCTTTTAAAAGTGTTCATATTATTTGAAATATTTTGCAACTGTAATTCTTTTCTACATTTAAAGATTGTTATGTCCCTCCATATTAAGAAGAGGTCTGGAAAACAAAATTCTGTGCTAAAAATAGACCACGTGCTGCTATCAGTGAACTACTTTCAGGGTTCTTTACACTCTTTTTGAAAACAACGATACCTTGTTTTGAACTTAAAATTATCATTTAAAAGTGCAATATTTAGACATTTTCTCAACAAATGGTTGTAGAGAGAACATTAATGCACAGTTTGCGTATTTTTTTGGATTTTTTAAGGCTCTGCTGAATTCTGTAGCTGCGCAGTTCTAAGGAGCATATCAAAAGCATTTTTCTGCAAAAGTATAGATTATATATGCACAACATGCATTCAGTTATGCATATTTATTGTATCTTTATCATAAGGGTTTAAAATTTGATCAAAAATATAATGTACTTTAGCCATTTGAAGAAATGTTTACATTTCGTTCTCACTGCACTAAAGGTGGCCGTACATCCCCCTTAACTTAGAACTGTTTTGAAGACAATGCCTGGACAATCGCTTTCAAAACGTGTCTCATTCAGATCGAGCCATTACATTCATTTAAAAGTATTCGGACTATATCCAACAGCTAGCTGATTTGTGACCAAACAGTTACTTCTTGAATTCAATAACAAAGACGACCAGTCCTGGTTAACGTGATAATTGATTGGTAATTATTAAGCACAATGTGAAATCCTCATACTTATCCATGCCTCATCGAACACCTGGGGTAGTGGACAGTTGAAAGACAGCTTTTCATTAATAGTGTCCATAGTACAATTAAAAGTTATATACTTTTTTTTTCTATTTTAGCAAAAATGCCGACTTATGTGAACTTGCATTGAATTAGCTACAGTTTGTTCTTTTAAACGGTGTATCTACAATTTTTGGCCCGATAATAAGCGCTCATGCAAATCAAAACAATATTTCAAACGGAAGTACGTCATAACATGGAGATATCCCATTCTACCTTAAGACATAAAGAAATATTAACTCGATCCTTCCCCTCACCCCTTTCCAGATCACTGTTTGTTTATGTATGCAAACTACTACTTGTATTACATTAAAAAAATATACAAATAGTTTAATGTGGTTCATCTCTGAATGATTTTCATTCCTAATTCTAGGAAGATAGGTTGACACATATTCATGAATAAAATGTCAAGTAATCTTATCATTGATGCACTTTTATTTAATTTAACGCAGTCATATTGATAACATTTCCAGCTCATAAGGAGAGTGGGAATGACCTCCAGGGGTTCATAACCTTTATACCATTAATTATTTACATCACATAATAACACAAGAAACAAAATTATGGATATTCAAATGGAAAAACATTCCAATTATTTAGGAGTCAAATGATCATTTGTCATTACTGGGACAGGGAATGGATTGGGAGATCGCCCTCTCAACCCCCCCTCCCCCAGAATTTGCAGGACTATAATATATACTGGAGGAAATAAAAATGACTTTGGATGCCCAAAGTGTCCCTCCACCTTAGAAAACAGAACCAAACATAACTTCTTTTTTTTTTTGCTTCTCAGGAAATTCTGGTCTGGAACCCCCCCCCCCCCCTCCCTTCCTGTCCCAGAAAAAAATTCTGGATCTTGTAACTGAATGTAACGTTGATAACGGGAGATAATTCTTCAGAATGTCAAATTCATCGGATCATCTTTGATCCTTTAAACTTTGTACTTACCGATTGTCATTATCTAGGTCCTGTAATCTCCATGAAATATAATCCAATTAAATACAAAATGAAATAATTCCTACTGACATATATGCAATGATGTGTATACCCCTATAAATGTTTTACCACGATTTTCGCCATTTCCAGAGGTGCTATGTGTTCCCGATCAAATATACGGTAGTAAGTTATAGTAAACTATGGTTAACTATAGTATAAAAAGATAAAATTTTGGAAATTTGCTTTACTATAATGAAAACTTGGAAATTTCATTTACTTTGGTAAATACTTTGGAACTCTGATTTACTATTTGTAATAGTAAAAACTTCTGTTTTCTGATTTACTATGATAAAAACTCTGGAACTTAATTTACTTTATTGAAATCTTTTAAGCTTAGAATACTTAGGTAAAATATAGTTAACAATTGTTTAGTGCAGCGTTCAAAAAACGTCAATTTTTGGTAGTAATATATAAGAGACTATTTATTAGATATATAAAAAAAGACAGTTATCTACATTATTATACATTGTTAAGTTTGTAAAATGTATTTCCTATCTTTATCTGACAGGAGAGATAAATCCCAACATGTATATTTAAAGTACACTGTTATTGCCTGTCTCTATCTTCTGGAGATATGAATATTTCGTATATCACACAGACAGGGCCAGGCTATATTTTTATTTAAAAACAGTCAGTAACATTTAATACAGCTCATCGTCTTAGGTCACCCAGGTTAAATAATCTATTGATTTATCTTCCGTCTGTCAGCTATTGTCTTTCGTCATAATTTATTCCTAATCATTTTATTTCAGCAATTTTTAATTACCATTGATTCTATTTTAGAAACGTTTGATTCATAGCTTTCAATATAGGTTTCTAAAAAACACAAATTGACATTTTTAGCAAAAAAGGTCATTTTTTATTATTTTTTTTTCTGATTTCAACATGTTCAATTATTCTCCATTATGTTATACTACAAAGTGTGTATTATAATTCTAACTTGTTATGGCGTTTTGGAATAAAAAAAAATTCCATAATGAGTGAAATATTCCTAAAAATAATGGTTTGATTAAAATGGAGACTAGAATAACCTTTTTATCAACAATGGATATTATTCTAAATCCAAAAAAAAAAACGGCCAGAAATATAAATAATGAGCTTATATTTACAAATACCTTGTTTATTTTCATTCTGTTTTTAGTGATTTTTATGATTTTTTTTTTTGGTTTTGCTAAATTGTTTTATTCCTTTTATATATACATTATCATTTTTGGCTAAGTCCCACACAGACTGTAAACAATACAATAGATTTACTCCTATTTAGATTTACAAATATGTGTAGTAGAAAAGCAGGTGTGTTAAATTTATAAATAGGTAACCCGGATATTTAAACCAGTTAAGGTCACTTATGAAGTATTGAACTTTAGGTGAAGGTATAACTCGTCTTTGTGGAACAATGAAAAGGGATTTTTTTTAGTTTACTGGTCATTGCATGATTGCAGAAGGTAAATAGCCATAGGTAAAAAGGTATTACGATCTGAATGATACCTATTTATGTGTTATACTTTTAAATAACAATATAGATCTACTTTCGTTTTTGATTATGTGGTAACCGTTTAGATTTTTTCCCATGAAAATTAATGGTTAACGATTGGAAATTGCCTGGAAAAAGGAAAGAAGCAAAATATACATATACAGTCCTATATAAAAAGGAATCTATGTTTCAATCCACTGTAATTCTACACTATTTGACTATGTATTGCAAGCTAATGAAAGTGCACATGTAAATATATCATACTCATTTTATTTATGGCTGAGACACAGGTGCTTCTGTACCCGATCAAACGTGTATCCCACTCAACGTTATGCACATGCATATCTTTGGTCCATTTGTCTTTTGTTATCAATCTATTTTCTATCGCAAATCCATATTGAATTTCATTTGGAATTTTTAAATAAGTTAATCAACATTCCACTAAATAAGTCATGCCCAGTCTATCATAAAACCAATCGTATGTTGTTGTTGTATTCTTTTAAGAAAATGGTTATTCATTCGGAGGGTGGGCTGTTCACAAGCACCTGTGCATTAAACAGTCATGTATCAGCATGGTAACCCATACGTTTATATATTTTTTAGTGAAACGGTACCCAGGAATTTGTATAAAAGGTATTTTCTGTAAATCGACAAAAAAGCTATGTGATCTATTATTACCCACTATGAAAACCAGGGATATAATTTGAAGATAAGTGGGCATGTTACGAGAGCGCAGCTATACCAACGTGTAAAGTTCAGGTCTGAGATACACGTAGATGTAAGCATTTGCCTGACTTTTCTTGTTTTCAGCTATAGGTTATATGTGTTCTTATGAATCCTTATCATATAATTATTTATTTTTCAAACTAAATTACATATATGTATTCCACTGAATGCTCTTCTACATTTTATATCGTCAATAACGAATAACATCAAACATTTATGACGTTCAAGGAACCTTCATTTATATGGTTATAGATATGCATTGTCTTAATAAACGTTACATAAAGCAAAGTATATGCAACAGTAAATATTTTACAATATTTATATTTTTAAAACTCTTTATGACCAATTATTTAACTACTCCAGGAATGGTACGACCTGAATATTTGATAACACAACTTTTATCACATGTTTGCCAATAAAGCCTAGATATGATTATTTTCAAGAAAAATCATCTAAATGGTTACATTTATTGTCTTAAACATATAATTAAGAATAATCATCAGTTACTCTGAAAACTAATTGAATTACAGACGTTGGATACAAATGTCACAGGGTGGTAATGATTAATTCATGATCTCTCTCAGCATCATCAAAAGACATTAATGAAATAAATATCTTTTCAAAAGTTTGAATTAACTTCCCTCTCAGTCTTAAACACTTGAATAAAATATCTTGTTATTTAGTTTAAATTAACTTCAGTCAGGGGCTTAAACACTTCTTTAGACTTTTTTCGAAGGGACCATGATCCAAAAACAATGTTTGTACATGTTGACACCGACTGTCTAAGTCCTATATTTATGAAACCTTAACCAAAACCTTTTAGAAGTTTAAGATTAAACCTATTGTCATTTTCATTTACCATTGTGCATCATACAATCATTGAAGCATGTTGCAAGATTTTTATATTATATGTTATTAATCTCGAATATTATGTTTCAAATATATTGACAATGTTTTCTTATTTGTAATTAGACATGCATCTGAAAGAAAAAAAAATGAAAAGCATTTTAATCTCTCGTTAAGACTGGTTACAGGGTTTAAGACATGGACTTCGGAATTTTCACACAAGGTACCAGATTCCGTTCCTGCGATTAGGCATTACCTTTTACCGAAGACTATACGGGCCTGGGGACTTTTTTGTTGATCAAGTGAGTATTTTATTATTCAAAATCTGCGTGTGATTTTCAAGAATTCAAAGCTTATAATAAAAACGTTGATCTTTTAAGAACGCTGAATGTCTGAAATATTGAAAACAACTTACCTTTCATTTACTGACATTAATATTTATTTTTTAAAAAAAATCAATTTAAATACATGTAAATAATAGTTTGTATTTATTTATAAAATTTATGCTATTTTGATGAATTTTGATATTTCCTCCAAAGAAATGGAAAACATTGTGGACTCGTGTCCACATAATATGACAGAGATACTGGAATCCTCCCTCAGATTGGGTTGTGGCCAAGATCAGTATGGGAATGATCAGTACATCTGTGTCCCTAACAAAAACAAAACAGGACTCGTAGAACTGTGTTATAATGGCATCATGGGGATAATAGAACAAGGTGAGTAATCACCTAGTCAAGGTAATATATAACAGCATTTTAAATACAATTTTGTTAATGACATAAATCATCTTTTGTTTCATAAGTACATTGTACTTATAAATATCGTAGAATGTAACATACATTGCAAGTTAAAATATTGTCAATAGAACTAATCAGTCAAAATGCTATCAGTTATTTAAATATATTCTTTTCTTGGAAATCACAATCCCTTACAAAATTATCAAAGTCATCTCATGTTATAGTTTACCATGATTACTATAGTAAATCAATTTTCACTTGTTAACCTCAAAATACAGATATATGTACATGTTTATTATGTATATTTAAATTTTACAAGAAATATGGTGATACCAAATACTTTCAGAATATCTACATATTCTGTTTACAAAAAATTTACATCTTTGCCAAGTAATTAAGAATATAAAGCCTTTAAATCTTCAAAAAAGTTCGAGACTTGAAATTGATATTTGGTAAATCAAAGTACATGTAACAAAATATTTACTACAGGTACATGTAACTATAGTTAAGTTTGTTAGAATTTAAAAAACACAAAATCACTCTTAAGAAATTTCTTTTAATGTTAAGATCCGTGTTACATTTAAGAATTCATTATAATGTCATGATTGTGGAATTATTGATAAAAAACATTAGACTGTTTTACGAAAGAACATACGACAAAGACCAATAAATTTAATTAATTGTAAACATTTGCAAAAGTAATGATAAAATTCAAAATTACTATCCTGAAAATATTTTTCTTAGTTATAAGAAATTTAAAACCATATTCAAATAAATGCAAACATGCTAGATCTTTTGTAAAACGGACCCCTGCAAGAACTATAATACAAGGTTACATATAAAGGAAGCTGGTAATGCCTTTTTTTCAAATACAACTGAAATTTTTAACAAAGGTATAGGATTATTCAAAATATATTTAACGAAAGATAGTTTCTAATTAAATTGATGAAAAATGAATTCAGAAACATCTGATTAAAATGTCGATTGAAAAATTCATTGCACTTCCATCTACTTTCTCTTGACTTTGTATTTTGTTTCATTTTACTAATGAACGTTTCCATTTATTATATAATTAAGGATACTGTTTGGAAACCGACGGACAAGAACTTGTTCAATTTGACTGCAGTAGATTTTCATCAGGCTGTCCGAGGGGATATTATCGAAGCAATAAGATATACCAATGTAATTTCAAGATTCTTTAAAAAATCAGTTAATTTATATATTGAAATCGCCATTACAAAACTTTTTTGTTTGAAATTTTTTAATTCGTCTTTTGAATTTATTGAATCATCTAAATTGTGATCATTTATTTATTTAGATCCTGCTTGTCAAGGCATCAATACTGAACAAAATTGTTATTTAGCTGAAACCTCATGTCCAAATAAGTAAGTTTATACTCTGGTGGAATATTCCTTTCTATTCAAGTTATCTTTTGAAAAAATATACCAGATTTAAGAATATAATCAATATGTAATTTTATTTTACTAAAGTAAACTGATATTTATACCATCCAGCTACATGTAGGATGTATTTAAGAATTGAGAGACAGTTTGTATGTAAAGATTCTTATAATCAAGTATTAAATTTTGACTTACCTACTGAAGAAAGTTTTAACTTCAAAATTATGGTATTTGATTCATGTGCATGTTTGTAAAGTTTCTGGCCAGACCATTTAAATTTTCAAGATTATAGGTTAAATTCTATTCGTCGTAATCTTTAAATTATCTTAGACATATATTCGTTATATTTTCTAATCGAACGGTGTCCTGTGTTCGTCTGTCCTGTTTCGGCTAGCTGTAAATGTTATAGGCCACTTATGGTTTCAGGAATCACTGGGACACTTTGAAGTATTTAGATCGTACCTTAAATAAAGTGAAAGATTTTCAGACTAGTAAAAAAAAAAACCCTGATTTACTAAAAACTTTTTCATTTGCCACTAAGCAAGGACATGTGAATCTTAAGATGAACAATTTATTACAAACTAGTGTTGATTCGTGGTAGTTCCAAGAATCCAGGTCATTTCTCCCCAGTACCTGCTCTGCGTAGGTCATTTCCGCCCAGGTCATCTCTCTCCTGGGTCATTTCCCTCCATTACCCAGGTCATATCTCTCCACTACCTAGGTCATTTCACTCCAACACAAAAATTATAGAGTAAATAAGTCCAATTGTATTAAGTTTTGTTAATTACCAGGCTGAATTTAACGCTAACTTTATTTATTTTATTTCATCTTATTTATTTATTTATTAATTCACACATGTATTTTTTATTTTTTTATGACATCACACATTTATTATTAATATTATTCATAATTTAAACATTTATGCATTCACTCATTTATTTGAATAATTGTTTTTTGTTTTTGTTTTTTTTTTTTAGAATTCTTTTATAATTTAATTCATTCCTTTATTTATTAATTTTTTTGTATTAATTAATCAATTTATACAATCTTGAATTAGCTTTTTACAAGGACAGAGGCACATGGTTTTTTTTTTTTATTTTTATTCATTAATTCTAAGACTTACTGTCTTTCTTTTTAATGGAATTAGCTGCAAAACTGAAAAGCTCTCTGGAAAATATGTATTGACAGTGCGGTTTGTCAAAAAAAAAAAAAAATCAGAGAGCTACAGTTCTACAGCAATAGTGGAATATAGAATAACTTTAAATGCGATAATAGAAATATTTTATTTTAATTTTCTTTCTTTAATTAAATTCATTATCAATTAGACTTCAAGTGAATTTGTTTATTGTCCTGTCATCTGTCGTTTATGGTCTTCATCAGGAATAAATGAATATATGTTAGAATTTGTAATTGCAGTCTTGCGGTTTTATGGTACCCTACAATTTTTTTATCATCATGCTGGGTGCATATGTTTACCCGTAAATTGTCGTTTTCACAGATTGACAACACAATAGCTCCTTTAGTCTTTAGACCAAAAAAATGTCAACTTGTACAAAGATATATTCAGCCAAATTATTATAAATATAAATAAGAATTTTTCCCACTTTTTATTACATTGAATACAAACACATTTTCATGTACTGTAATACTTCCTATTGGAATATTTTTATTTGTACTTAAAATTTATTATCTCTGGTATAACAATGGAAACTGAACGCCATGGATAAAATACGTATAAAAGAGAGATGACCTTTTTTATTGAATCAAAGAATATGTAAACTTTTAGAAACAATAGATTATTTGACATCTATTGAGAGTATCAAGATTAAAAGTCCTGAACAACATTTTATATAGTCCTGATAATGTATTCTCTACTTCATAAAATATTGTGGTAAACACAGCAGATTACATTATATTAAAAAGGGAGGTGGGTTAAGATAATTTTTCTTACATTAGATTCAACATGTAAGAATCGTTTTAATGGTGTAATATACTAGTACTTTAAAATATTAAAATTTACTAGCCATTGCCGGCGAAGTTGTGGAGGTGTCTATTGCCACATCGAGTATGTTTCTCTGCGATGTCTTATAATTCATTTTTAATAGATATTTTTTCCGTTGTTATATTCCTATTAATTCATGTGGTTTGGCTACTTTGTAAATCTTGTATACCTTGAAAATATTGCATTTTAGGTTTTTTTTCATATTGATAGCATTTTTACGTCATTATTTTCTTCACGTTCTTATTATTTATGATTTTATATTATACAATTATTCAAAATAAATATTGGTAAATATTTACATACTTTTACGTGTGTATCTTGTTTAATAATAAATATTTTGAAGTATCCTTTGTTTTCTAAAAATTTTCAATTTTTAGCTACAAAACTGTAGTTTTCGAAAAAGAAAATTTATTGAACCAGTCTGTCAATATATTTCTTTTCAGAGGGCTACAGTTCTGCGGCTATTATCTCATGTCATGGGTATTTTCTCCATTTTTTCTCCTAAGGTCAAAATTGACGTATTATAATTTAAAACTGTTATTTTTTTTATTCCATCGTATTTGTATCCCAAACGAAATCAATCAATAAAAGCAACATTTTTTGTATTATTTTTCTAAGATTCGAGTTTGATCAGTATCTATATAATATTCAGATTATAGACAAAACTTCATCATCGGCTATGGTGAAAATTAATCATTTTAACAAATTAATTTATTTCAATTGAGTTTAACTTTTCTTTCAAAATTATTACCCTTAACAGAGGAGGCCTCCACGAAGCAAGGGTTGGACATTGGTATCAAATTTTATTTTCATTAATATCAAATATTAAATTTTCCCCTGTTAATAAAATTCCAACACATTCTCTCGTTCGAATTTTATTTGTCATAAATTGATAAAATTAATTTTTTTTAGAAGACAAAAGTTAATAAAACAAGAATGGATATGTAAATAATCATATAAGACCAGATTATAAATGGGGTAAAATGACCAAGAAGGAGAGAGAAATGACCTACCTTGAAATGACCTACCGTGAAATGGTAGGAGAGAGAAATAACCTGGGAGAGAAAAACTTTTTAGAGAGAAATGACCTGACACCGTGCTCCAATGGCCTATCACTTTTTTTTGGAAAATAAGTTGTGAACGCTAACAGACAAAGATTTTGCCCAATTTAACCAAACTACACGTACTTGGAATGGGGTATTAATAGTAAAATCTTAATGCAAATATATCTACCAAATATCACTGTAAGAATGATTAAAGTAAACTTTAAGTATTGGAAGAACCAGGTACTCATACTTCACGATTGTTTGCTACGACTGCCTTAATTTTAGCTTTTGTTTAAATTCAATATCATTCTATGGAGTCAGATCCTGTCAAAAACAAGCAGAATTTCTATAAAAAAGAAATCAAACTAGGATTTTTGATGCTGTTTTCAAATCTAGATGTCTTTATTAAACAAAAAAGACGTTGTTACCTTTTAAGTTTTCCGCGTACTTATGCGTATATTCGAACGTACACTAAACATTTTGTGATTTGTCTGTTGATATTTGCCGTTTAACATGTACGTATAGACCAACTTTATTTAATTTATTTCATAGAGAAAAGTAAAATAAATAAAATAAAATAATTTTAAAAATTGCTCGCGAAACTTTACATCCTAAATTATGTAAAATTGTAAAATTACGCATTTTCAGACATCAATTGGCTATTTTTTTTATTTTTAAGGCTCTGGCTACAAACTTTCTCTTACATGTACGTATAGATGTCATTCTACAATACAGTGGCTACAACGTTATTGTTGACAACTAACACGAACGATCAGGCTACACGAACGATTCCGCACGATAAACGCATGATTAAACATGTTACACGAACGATCTTTCACGCACACGATTCTACACGTTACACGATCTTACAAGATTGCTAACGCGAACGCACGATTCTTCATTCAAAAATAGTTCAAAATAATTAGGAATCGATATTTTCAAAACGAAATACGGCTTAATACTAATGTAAGATTTCAAAGAATTATCAATATTATTTCATAGACTTAAAAAAAACGGAAAATGATATTTCTGTAGCTAAATACATGTAAGTCATAATATTTTAGATTAAAAATAACTATTTCTAAGGTACATATATTTCTTCGACCTAAGAAAACGGATTTTTTTTCGTTCTATCAGAAGATGTACATGTATTTGGGTCGTATAATTTGAATGAATTGGATTTCATGATATACAGAAAGGGAGATATGATTGAAAAAAAAAAAATGGCAGCATGGAATAACTTAAATTACAAATTATAAACGTATGTTTCCATTGATTCAATGTCTGTGAATATCTAAAAATTATACTGTCAATTATTTAACTTTTTTTGCAGAAACTCAAATTAATCAATTATAAATAAGCTCAAGATGTAAGCACAGATAATCAAAACTCCTGAAAATCATGTCGTGTGCATGTATATTCGCCGACTAAATATTCATGTAAGCATTGAGAAATGTTAATTTATTTGTTAAAAAAAATTATTACCGATGTATTGATTTCAAAATTATCTCGATCATATTTAGCAGTAAATAATAATGAAAATCAGATTTAAAAAAAAGCGTTAAAGATCTCAGTACGGTATATCACAATGTTGATCGCGCTATTTGACGAGAACTTAATATTGTACGACTTACTATATTGTTTGTTTACGGGCGATAATTAGTTCGTTCTGCATTCTATTGTGTGAAATGTGCTACATTCATTTTATTTGGATTTAAATAAATAAATAAAAAAAAACAAGGGTAATGCTTATTTTACAAATAACATTCCGATAAAAACTTACAAAAAGAAATTTACACGATTCTAAACACACGATCTCGCACGATTAAAAACGCAAACGATTGAATCTGATACACGCACGATCTCGCACGCTACACGAATGATCACGCACGATACACGAACGATTCTACACGATTGGTTTGTCAACAATAACGTTGCAGCCACTGTACGTGATTATATGAGAACACTACATGTATGAAATCTCTCCCTCCTTTGTTTATCTTAATGTACTCGTTTGAGCCAATTGCCAAAGTGCAAGTCTTTCAATACATACAAATAACATTCACAAATGTAAAAAAGTGTTCTAATTACATGTGCAATACAAGGATTAAAATGAATGATATTACCATTAAGGTTCAGGTTTCTTTTTTAACCCTATCTCACTTAGTATTTGTTGCTGTAACCTATCATTGGCATCTCATTCACCGCAATGTTTTTGCCAATTTATCTTTGTGCCCCTCTTTATAAATTTCTACAATATCTATTGAAAATGAACTTTACTATCAATAGCAAATAATGTCTTATGAAATTTCTTCTGATTTAAGATTAGCATACAGAAATGTACAATTATTCATAGTAATTCTAATAATATATTTACATGTACATTGTCTATAATATTTGAAAAAAAAATAATTTTCCCGTACTACCTGACCTAGCTGTAACTTTATTCAACTATTCTGAGATGTCGCATATTCTTTTTTACCTTTAAGAAATATATTTCATAGCCTGTTAGTTGCTTTAATATTGCCTTAAAGTGACATTTGTTTATGATGACTAAGCAAAATCAGAAAAAAGCTTTCAACTCTGATCGAAAACTAAGTCGACATTCATTATAGTATTGACTTTCACTTGATATTAATATCTTTTATGTTGCCCATGCACTCTTTGGTTCTGGACAAATTTTAGCCAACTCCATTCCCACCACAAACATTATCTCTAAACTGAACATGTTATGTGGAACTCCTCGACCCACTTGTCTCATATCTAATACCGTCAGTTTAGAAAGCATTTGGGTTTTCATATCCTTTTTACCTCAGCTTTGCATAACCAAACTTCTTTTTTATATCAGCTCATGGAGCACTGGTACCAGCAAGACAACATTTGATTTCCAAACAACAACACCTGATCCTCAATACGACCCATCATATGCAGCAGAGATTGCAGGTGGTCTGTCTGCTGGAGTGTTTTTATTTGTTGTTATTCTTACAACAGCTGTTGTCCTTTTGAGGAGAAGAAAGAATCGGAAAATTGAAAAACAAAAACGCAAACCAGGAATGCTCTTCACACGTACAAATATTGAATATGATGAAGATAATTGGAAAGGTTTGTATTTCTAATTAAATCAGTTATATCTATGAATTTTTAAGGATTTTTCTGAACTTTTTTTTCACATCTCTTTTCCTTTTTGAAGTTGAAAATGAGACATTGTTGCCAGAATGGACGTCTTTAGGTAATTATTTTATGAAAATATTGCTGAGATTATTTTGTTCATGTAAATCGATTTACATTGAATTTATTTCATGTGATGTTGAATTTCTCTTCATTTCAAAGAGATACTTAATACAACTGAGCAGATTGATCGCAATGCTCAAGAACAGATCACAAACAAGACAGATGAGCAAAGTGACAAAAATGCACAAGATCAATTTGACAACAGAACTCAAAAGCAAATTAACAATAGTGCACAGGAGGAATTTGACAACGATACGCAAGATAAAGGAGGGAAAGACAGGAAAATGGACTCTATTTCCCACACTATGCCGCAGCTGCCAGTTACTAATCCTGAGGATGAAAGAACCACAGAAATTGCTTTTCCAAAACTCCTAAAATCACATGCTTTTGCAGGTATATCTTTAAAAAAGATGTCAAATTGGAATGCAACTACTAGACAACTTCTTTTATACTATGTGTCACCCCTTATATATATATATATATTTACATTTGCAAATTTTTCCCGTTATAAAACACTATTTGAACAAGGCGTTTTTACATCTCCGTAAAGCAAGTTCGTCATGTGACCATAAATTGATTATTTAGTCATAATGGATCTATGTAGTTTGAAAATGACGTAATAAGCGATCGACGTTATAAACACGTTAAATGTACACCGTTTAGTTTTGAAAAAAAAAACGTTAAGGGTTTCAAACTTTAGTTAAGTACGTTACTATTTTTAATAAATAAGTCACAAATGTAAATATAAGTAATTAAGTATCAATTTTAGTTTCATTGGGATGTAAAACGGGTTGGTACATCATCAGATCAAGATTTGATCTCGCCAAATAATCTTCTGGCTGACAGCTTATGATAATCGTTTGTTTCATAACAGTTTAACTTTCTTTTATTCCTTCCTTATACCCTGAACGTACCTCTCATCCTCTCAGAAATTTCTTGATTTCTGGACAGAACTTTTACATTTACTTAATATATCTTTGATCATAGAATCCTAAATCGTAAGATATCTACCCCCACTCTCACCATACAAAAAGTCGGTGATCAGTTATCTTAATCTGATTGTTTAAAAATGATTTTGGGGATGGATTTTATTTTTTAGGATTAATCTTACGAGTACAATTAGACTATTTAAATGTCAACTTGACATATTCTAGTGATTCCAGGAGTATGTATTTTTTTTCTCTCTAGATTCACCCTTTGTGGGAAGACACAACGCTTGGAAGACAAAGATATCAGGTGAAGATCTATTATTTATATCAGTTTTTTTATGGTCAAAACGAGTCTTGATAATTTTTAATTAACAGTAAACAAAGGGTTCTTTTCATAGGTAGAATAAATTTATTATTTTATAAGCTTTTTTAAAAAGTAGTTTGCATTGCTTTCACAGTATTAAAAGATGAAAATTGTTTATACTTAAAACACCTTTACTCGCTATGAGGAGGTTTTTAATCCAGAAGGGATTAAAGTCATTTTTAATCGTTATAAAATATCTAAAAAAAAAAAGGGGGGACGCCCCAGCCTATATCGTGTTTATCGTGTTCCCGTCCCAACATTCACATATGGTACATATACCTTACATGTAGAAAATTGTTGGAAAAACAGCATCATCTACGTAGTCTCAATAAACATTGCTCAAAAATCTATCTCAACTAAAGCTGAAATGTTCCTTACTGGGCAACACAACACAGTAGAATACCATATTTTCCCCCGGCGCTTCCACTGAAAGTGGGGATATTAATTTTAATCTGTCTGCCCTTTTGTCCGTCTAGCTGTCCATCGGCCCGTCTAAATTTCTGTCTGTCTCTAACACTTTCGTTTCTGATGCACGATATCTCAAGCACACTTTGAATTTCGTAATGAAATATTGCATACTCTATTGCCAAGAAAAGAAGTATATAGATTCTGAAGTGAAAAGGTCAAATGTCAACGCGTAATAAATCAATATTGAATAAATTCTATCTGTTTCTTTTCCACTCAAAATCTCGGATATCCTTTGAGCTTTTGCATTGAAATCTTACATAACAACTTCCTGTGACCTACGAAGACCCATATTGAGATTAATAGGTCAAAGTTCAAGGTCGTAAATTTATACATTCTGTCTGTGTGTAACACTCTCGTTTGCGGGCAATATCTCAAGAAGCTTTTGAGCTTTTGCAATGACATTTTATATCTGTCCATATCGCCTCTCAAAGTAACCCGCCACATTTAAAAAATATTATTTTTATTAAAAGTCGTTTGACACTTTTTTTAGCACTGTGGCATGAGGAGAGTTATTACGTATAATACAGGTTGTCGGCGGACTTTATATTCTGATACACATCTACGAACTCTTAAGTAAAGGCTGAGTTAGACACCAACAGGCATGCTTATGAAAATTTCCTAAGATGTGTCTCAAAACGCGTCTTTTACTTTTATCTTAGGAACAACCTAAGACAGGTCTTAGGGTCTTAGTGTGTAAGACGAAGGCATCTAAGGTATTTCGTAAGTAAAAATGTCGTGAATTTCATCTAAGGCATTTCGTTTTATTGCCAGGGGCTTGCGTTTTTTGTGTGTTTATGTATGTATGCAGAGGAGGGGGGGGGGGGTGTTATTAACTATATGCTTTGAAAACTCAGAGGGAAACTTATTTTCAGAGACGCCCCCTCTACATTTGCCCATAAATATATTGAATATTTGAAATAGGAACTATCTTTAGTGCTAATATTACAAAAAAAGAAAAAAAAAACAGAAGAGCAGAACTACATAAGCTTCAGAAAAGCGAAACTGAATTTATCTAGCTTCAGATCACTGACCTGAAAATAATATTGTTAGTCGTCCATTCCATTTTTTTCTGACCATGCAGCGAGCTTAGGAACTGCGGATAATGTATATAGATGACAAGTACATATTTCTTAAATTCTCTCAAAGTTATTTGTATAACTGGATAATAGTAAATAAGAAAAAAAAATGCAAAATACTATTTCTTGTCGTTGTTTATCCCACGTTGAAAAACAAACTCTTTCTCTAGTGATGGGACATCGGTTGATTTCCATAATCGATCATCGGTTGGAATTGGTTACTGCTTCCGATGGCATTTTACTGATTATATTCGGAATTCATTGTTGCATTTATTTCACATCATTTCTTTAACATGAATGTGTTAAATATGTAATTTTTTGTTTTCTTTAATTTTTTTTGTTTTGCTTATTTCACACTTTCTACATACATGCATGGTTTAAACCTACAATTTCCACTAGCCGCATGGGTTCTTAAAGTTTCAAATAGTAACGTTTATGCCAAATACATGTTTACATTCTACTTCGAACACATGTTTCGGGTCAATCTATATGATCATGTGAATAGAGTGAAAAATGATAAAAATGTTCTTCTGAACAGCATTAAAAACTTAAAAGATTTGGTGTTATCAAGAAAAATGCCCGGTATATGATTATTTATAAAATGTGGGTTTTGTTCGGTGTAAAACACCAGCGCTTCAAGGGAAAGGAAAACAAGCAGCGTCTCTTAAGCATTTTACTAAACTGAACTTTCTTTACATACATGTACATTGTATCTATACTAATGATCACGTGTTTTGGCCAGGGAATCCACCTAACAATTGCATTCGCCGATAGTACAACAGTTGAACAAAGGAATTAATACAGACGGAAATCGCTTTGCAGTTTGACTTTGAGAAACCTAGACCTCCACCTTTTATATCACAAATAATTTTTTTGTCATCGTGAGCATGAAAATAACATAGAACGTTAAAACATGCTTTTAATTTACCATAAGATTTTCCTTTTTAACCGTAAAATTTCTGTAGCATTCGTATTAACCTATAATGCATTTCTCATTCAGCTGATTGGTAAGTTAAAATCATGCTGGTGCCTCCTCTGCTAATCTGACGCCATGAAATATAGTCCAGGTTCCCATGTAGAAATATTTGTTTAAAAAGAAATTTTGATTCGTGACTGCAGTAAGTTGTAATGTAGAGAATACTTGTTAAAGATTGAATTAATGTAAGAGCGATCGAATGAAGTGCATTTCTACAGATATTATAGGGTGGTAAAAACTGAAACGAAACATAAATTTTCTGTTTACCATGAGTCCACGTGCTAGTCCATGAATAATTTACCCTATCTCTCTGTAATCACTGCCAACGGTACTCTAAACTCATCAAGTTTTATAATTCGAAGAACAACGAAAAATAAAAAGTGTCGAACACATTTGTAGGGATGTATTATAGTATGTTAGGGCATCAACGATAGTGGGAAACATGGAATAATTTGCATGCCTAACGGGCGAAGGTAGCTAGACAGTAATTTTTCACTGTGAAATAAAATTGTAGATTTAGAATTTTTAAAATGTAGAAATAGATTTAAATAAGACACGGGCTTCCATGCACATGCCAAATTTCAATAGTCCTCACCCACATGTCAAACACAAGTTAGGCGCACGAGATTAACATTGTATTTGGCCTCCTAAGCGTCAGACACAGGGACAGATGCGCACGAGATTTGCCTGTATATAAGGCCTCCTAAGCTCCTGACCTATAGACCTTCCTTATTTACGTTCCGGTAGAATTTCTAAGAAATCTACTCCGCTAACTTTTAAAGAGATAACTTAGAAAAAAAAATACAAAGTGAAAAATACAGGTATCAAGGATAAATATCAAAAACAAACTTTTTTTCCTGAAATCAGCAATATTTCTCATAGATTTACATTAAAATTGTTAATATGAATATTGTTTATCAAGTATAGTGGAGGAACTCTATTTTCTCATTAGGGTAAAAATTTGTGCAAAATTTTGTATGGAATTATATAGATACATGTAGTAAAACATAGTATCAAATTTAAGCAACAAGGAAAACCTACTATTAATTTCATATTTTAGGGATTAATTATTTATGTCATTTCAAATCAAAGTCCATCAAAATATATATCAATCCATGTATCAAATTTTTGTTTGCGTTCACGACATGTACATGTACCCTTGTATTTTACGCATTATAGGAGCACTAGGCTGTGACTCTATCCTCCTACATTGTAGTCTCATTGTATTGTTTGAAAGATAATTACTGATAATATATACAGTACCCGCATCGTTATTCTTTAGATGATACACGATACGATAGGATACACGCACGATGCGATAGGATACACGCACGATAGGACAGGATACACGCACGATAGGATAAACGCAAAACACGATAAACGCAAAAATCGATAGATCTGAAAAACGATCTTCACGATAGGATAATCGCAAAACCTGATAGGATTGTTTTAAAATGCGGGACGTTTTCTGACAAAACGAAAAGATTATTTTGTTTAGACACTGCAATATTTTAATTTAAATACTTGGAAAGCTTCAAATCTGAATTACAAAGTACATTTCATTATTATAATAAAAAAAAAAATTGAGATCACTGGTAATTTTACAAAAGTTCTTTATGTATATAGTTTTCTGGCAATGATTAAATGGATTATTATAAAATGGACACTGTATTTTTTTAATTTCTACTGAAGGGTGTAGATTTACGTTTATTTTTGGAAATGTTGAAATTCTCTTCTTACGGTTGAACTATGACTCCTTTAATAATGGATATTTTAACATACATGTAATTGTTGCACAAGAATCCCTCATATAATTATGTGCCGTTTCTCACGAGTACTTTTAAAAATATATGAAACTCAATCAATTGATTTATTATTTATGAAAAAAAAATATAATTTTGTACCTAATAAATTTATCTACAGGTACTAATTTCCTGAGTAGAAATCTCAGTAATTGTTAATATTTTTGCGCTCTGCATTAATACATGTTACCTGTGTCAACAGAATATGGATCTGCTACAACTGTACATGTACGTTTAACTTCTCACTTATGTACATGTAAACATTTATATATCAGGTACTTAAAACCTCGTATTAATTAACGAACATCGAATGATAAATACTTTTTTTTTCTTTATAATACAAAACACCAACAAATTATCAACAAATATTAAAAGGGTGAAATGCGACTTTTTTTTAACCAAATAATTATAAATTTAACTATAAAGCTATTAATATTTGTGTGTACTGTTTCTAATGTACATGGAATTATTAAACCCTGAATGTTTTTTAGAATTACCTGGTAATCTCATAAACGGCATGTTCGAAAGTCCGTAACCAATTTAAAATTAGATAAACATGATTTAACCAAATAGCCAAAAATAATATTGACTTCTGAAATAAAGTTTTATACGTACGGAATA